AGCACCAGATGTAACCAAGCAAGTGATTCACGCAAGTAGCATCAACCTGATTATACGCGTCTCTACAAACAGCATCCTCTTCCATTGAGAGTAGGCTGCTGTACTGAACTTCTACAGTCATGTGCCGCCCTGAGATTATAATTACATAACAAGTAACCAGAGTGGAGAATTTACTTTCCTGAAGGACATTGCGATCAGTCAGAAACTGTCAAGGATAAGCCAAAGTGGATAATTTGGTAGTGAGATCCGAATACACATTGCACAGTCCCTCATGGCACCGCTTTTTACCCATTAGTCACCGTCTTCTACCTTTCTACTTGCATCCTAGTAGTATAAAATCAAATACTGAATACTTAGTGTGATTTTTATTTATGATGGAAAGTTAAACTGGAACACTGGGGAAGTTTCTGGACTTCGCGGGCATTCGGTAGAACTGTGGGAAAACTGTTCGATTGTTAAATCACTCCCATGTCAGTAGAAAGTTCAATGGTTGTATGCCATCCAGGGTGAGACTAAACTAACTACATCGTGTGGCCCTTGTTTTTGTTTAGATCACTCAAATCCACATCTGGTTGATTGGTGTCTGACGCCGATCACCGAGTATGAGGCACATCAGCTGAGGCAACTAACAACAAACCATGACAACCACAGAAAAACTGCACCCACAGAGTGTTGTTCCTTTTTTCCACAAAACATACTTTTCACGCAAATTAGGCTCGTGTTAAAGGAGCGAATGTATAGACAAGCATGACCGAGGCTTGATACGACCCTTTGTCTGTTCGCCGACAGCTTTTCTGTACGATCTGCTGATAAGCGAACATCATCCTCCAAAACATAGTCTGGAACCCCCCGGTCGCGGATAGCTACCAGTAAATTTGATCTGTGGTCCAGTCATACTGAAGGTGGTCATGCGACTGAGGCAGTCAGTGTGTGGTAAAAAATTACCGGTTGCAATTATGGTGAAGGTGCTGTCAGAGCGAGAGAGGTTGTCGCTGATAAAAATGAAACCGGCGACATTTGTTCGGATGATACGAACAAGCAAGTGGGGTTGTGCTTAGATAATCCATCTGGATTGGGCGGTAGAGAGGAGCAGATTGCATGCTTATCAAGCGAACGAGACGAAAACAGATCCATCGACTAGAGGGACCAAAGGCATGGAACAGACAATGATTAAAGGTTGACTCATCATCTGAACAAGTACGATACGATCAAAACATAGTCCTCGATGTTTACAGAAACACGTAGGTCTGTTGGTGTGTTTCTGTGCTTATACGTGTATACACGCCTCTGGCCGATTTGGGTTGACGCTGCTTTAAGTTAAAACGATGTGTGTGTTCCACCTTTTACTATCCAATAATTGTGTGAGTATACGTGTATGAGTTTGCGTACCTGCCAGATCCACGCTGTATAAATGTACACTTAAGATTTAGTATACTATACTCGTTGTTTCACAATATGAAACATCACTATGACCGGTTTTTATTCCACTTCGAAATCACCATTCAGAAAACTCTACGTGAGTTCTTAAAACGAGATATTTCTATTGTACCCGGCAATAATGGCTCTACTGATGTGGTTGTCCATGCTAAGTCTGAAATGAAAATCAGACAAATCAAGTGAGTATGTGTGTTGCTCTCTGCTGAGTTCAGATTTAATCAATGTAGTTCTTATTCTACATCGAGGTGATACACTACAGTGGAGGAGTTAAATATGCAGTTGCAACCGTGTTCGCAGGATACAAACCCAGGTTCCTTCAACTCAGACCACCTATGTTGGTTACCTGATGTGTCCGTATGCTTGAAGTACTAAGTACACTTTATCTAGTGCGTTAAAGCGGAAAGAAAACAAATGTTGTGAGATTTGATCATTTCATTTCATCTCCTCATTCGCTACAAGGTGAAAAGGAATGTGATTTCCAAACAAAACAGTTTTGGTAAATACAACGGGATGACGAGAACAGGCCTGGAGAGGGACAAGTCAGCTTCACAATCTATGAAATACTATTTCACTAATCGCGTCGGAGACATTCATGCCCCGAAAACTGGAAGGCAAACATTAACTGTCTGTGCAGTATTGAAAAACGTATCTTTCCCAGAGTGGCCCTCAATGTTGATAATCCAATGATTATGCGCGTCAGACGTTCAGAAGGTAACCTTTCATAAAACATCCCCTGTTGGACAGCTTCAAATAATGCTGTACGTGGAGAGACTTCGTCGGGACACAACGAACGGCTGAATTCTGCCTCATACACCGTCCAACAATCCACCTGCATTTGACCAGAAACTCTTGCTGGTAGGACGAACAGGGCACAATCATAGCAGATTTCTGTGCACACTATTGCTCCGTGACACAACACCAATCTAAAAGTTCACGTAACAACACAACCTGTGGGTCATCAATCACGGATGAATTCATGAGCACTTGACACATCGTTAAACTACTTTCGTCATTGAAGCCTTTGTTACGTGGCATTCAAGTGAGGAATGCTGCTTAAATGACCTTGTTCAGCTTTAGGTTCCTGATAGTTTCTTCCCTGAGGCCGATTGTGGAGCACACTTCTCCTCGTTATTACTTCCGTAATTCCACTGTATTAACCAAAACTATATTGTATGCTTACGCAAGGGTCTCTATACCTCTGCGGGTTGAATGGGTGACCAAATGTGAACGGATCAGCGTTTTGACCCCGTAACGTATGTAGCAGAGTGTACCTTCTGAAGATATTCTTGAAACTTGTGTACGTAAGTCTGAATCACATAAAACAGACTGGTCATTTTCCATGTGGTTAACACGGAAAGTGATAAAAACCAGGCAGGCAATAAAGATTCCTTTGCTAGCTACCTAAAACCTATTGGTTAGCACCTATTGAATCCGAAAATAGTCCATGGTTGTGGTATGCAGTCACATTACCGATTTCACCATAGGGGTGAAATCGATAAACATGTGTGCATTTCCATAACTCATGTTGAAAAAATTTAATTTATTTTCCTTTCTCAACTTGGCTCCTTTGCTCGACTAACAACACTTCTACTCGACTGATCCATGACTGTTTAAATTTTTCCACTTCCTTTGATGTATACCATAGTTCAGTATTTTTCGCAATTTCAAATATGAGTAAATCCCCTTGAACTAGCCATGTGGTGGAGCAATAATGTTTCCTAGGCCGAATTTTATTCTGTGGAGGAGGCACGAATTGGAAAAGTAAGTACTTTACAGTTATTTTACTTTTGTTCATCTTAATATGCAGTGCTAATCCGTTGACCCGGGGGGCTGTGGATCGAATGTGGAACTTCACTGGATCGCAGGGTAGCTGGTCAGATCTTATTCACTTTTAATGGTCACGAGTTACAACACAACCCATATTTGCAAGTTTACTACAGGCTAATAACCCCGCTCATCTCAGCTCGAAACTCCAGGATTTACAACTTAGTGGGAGAAATTTAATGCCTTTCCCCACGAATCGGAGGATCACAAAGAAAGTTGGGATTGTATGAATTTAGCACCCTGAATAATGAGCTTAACGTGAACCAAAGCCGATACTGCTGTTAACACGACAATTACCCACAGAATTAGGTACGGACGATGCACTGTGCTTTTCGTCCGGATTACTGCAGAAAGCCTACCACTAAGCACATCTTTCTTTCCAAATTTATAGATAAGTGATTCACAGAATGAGCATACCATACAAAACGATAGAGGGAATTTTGAACATTGAGAATACTAATGGCATGATCACACCGCTCAAGTCATGCCACGCATTTTCATAAGCGAGCAAGAGTCATTGTGAGAACCTGCATTTGCGCTACCCCAACCGCGGGGATTCCAAAACTGCCCAACCGAGTTCAAGCCTCAAACCTCTGTGATCGAACGATTCGTTTGTGACGTTTTTTCAAAGCGAACGAAGTGAAGTGTCATCTTGGAATAATGGAAATGTGCGCTCGTGTTTTCGCGCGTGATATCAGTGAACAGTGCATGATGCACCAGTTTTGATACCATAATTACAGAAGTACTGTTTCACCTACAAACACGATCGATGGACCTTTGGCAGAGCACAGAGATGAACCAGGCGGTTTGTCATTTGTGTTTGAATCAGTGTCTCCAGTGGACAGGAAAACCCGCATTAGGGCGGTGGTTTTCTAGCATCCAATACACACGTGAAAGCCTATCATCTCTTTTCCCTCAAACCATGATCCTCATCACAGCTATACGGAGATGTACAACACCTCGGCAAGGCGGGAAGTAGAGTGAAAGATTCTTATATATCATTACCAGTTCAGGTGTAATAACGATTGTGAATCATGAAAACCGATCCGGGAGATCGGTTTCTCGTGAAAAACTCACGACCGAAAAGAGAATGAATTCAATACCAGGAGCCGACATTCGGATATATTGTACAAAGCTTCTCTCATCTCCACCTCATCACGTTCAAATGAAAACAAATGACCCTCTTAGGAAGAACCGGTTAGGCTATCCCCCGTCAATGATATCATGGAAGCAGGAGAAATTACTTTGAGGGATGATAGACAAAAGCCTCGTCCTCGTACTACATGAATACCGGTCAGCACACTGAGCTAATGGCTATATCCAATTATTCTGTTATGCTTCATTTGATCTGATTTATACAGTCACCAGGCACTAATTATTTGCTGTTAGAGTTTCTTTATCGAGAAACAAGATACTGACGAATTCCTTAAAAAGATGAAACCGTTGTACAGTGTGCTCTTAGTCGGTGATTACGGTGAATTATTTCGCCAATTCCATACGATGAATTGTACAGTAAATTTGGGGAACTGAAGTCACTGCAAATAGATTCTGTATGATGATGATCGATAAATTGCATACAATGGCAGTTTCATCCCTGTTAGAACTCGTTGAGAATGAATACGCCTTTTATCCCAACTGGACTGGACACCTAAACACAATACAATTCGAATAAGGAACTGCAGACTGCGGTCTCGGGGAGAATAGTTCTAACCCAATTGACGTGATACAACTTACACAGCTCATTCNAGCTCATTCACGGTCAGATTTGGTCGTAGCGGATACGATTGGTACTGTATTTGATTGGTGGCCTCATCCATCACCAACACTCGTAATTGTTGTTGCTGTTGCTGAGGTTGAAATCCGGACAGTTGGACGTGATACGCTCGATCTTGTGTTGTTAAGTCGTTCAGGGCATTTAATTGTGCCAGATTTTGTGGGGCCCAAGGACGCCAACGGGGCAGAGCACTATGGCTGGGGCTGGGGACAAGAGCATCCTGGCTCATCATCAGAGGTCCTGAGGTCCCATTTTGACGTAATGTATTCGATCGGAACGGACCGTTAAATTTGTTAGGAGTTAGAGGCGAACCGGACTGAGAATCAACTGTGCCAGACCCGGGACTCTTGGTCCATTGCAATCCTGTGATGGTTTTCCGTCGACGTGGTGGAATAATACGGCGTTTGGTACTACCAAAGAATCCTTCGGCCGGTACAGAACCACATCCGTGATCGGAAGCATCCACATCCTCTTTGTCAGGCACGTGACTAAAATTCCCCACGGGAATGCGGGTTCCGCTTTTAGATGATGTCT